GGGCCGGAAAGGCTGGGGCCATTCTGCTGGGGCCGGAGAGGAGGGGGTTGTGCTGCCCAGCCCCCAGTGCTCTGGGGGGGGGGTGCTAGAGTGGCCACAATGAGGGGACCGGGGGCATGGGCAGGGGCCAGCGGCCACAGTGGGGGCTGGGCTCTGGTGGGCACAGAAGGGGAGGGGCCTCAGGTGGAAGGGGTGGGGCTGGGGGGCTAGTCTGCCCAAGCCAGCTATTCACCTACCATCCATGTTCATAAACACAAACCATGAGCAAAATACCCACCCCCACATAGGCTACCCAGCGTCCTTTTCCCCTCAGGTTCTTAAGTCCAGCAACCCAAAATTCCCTTTCACATTCCTGACCCTTTTCTGAACCCTACCGACAGTTGCTGTCCTTGGTCAGTGCAGAGCCAGAGTTCAGAGATGCATCTGCAGGGTTCAACTCCCACCCTGGGTGGCGCGGGGTGGTGGTGGTAAAGAGGCACCTTACTCACTCTGCTGCTCAGGCACTTGCTCGCCACCTCTCTCTGCCAGCCACCCTGCTGGCCACCTGCTCACCGCTCTCGCCACACCTCTCCACAGCCTCTCACTGCACCTGTCTGCCTCCCCAGCCACTCATTCACCGTCAGTCACCTTCTGCTTCCATCCACCTCTCTACTGTGACCTCTACACATCAGTCTCTTAGTAATTGTCAGTTTTTTGCAGGCTGGGCAGAAACACTGCCCCCCGCCAAGCGATTTCAGCTCTCAGTGATTTTTAGCTCTTTGCAGACAGGGTAGAAACACAGTCCTACCACAACCAATTTCAGCTCTGATTGAGTATTTAACATAACAAAGAGACTCCTAATGAACTCTATGTAGCTTCTTCTTTGAACAGTGGGGGGAACAGGTTAAACCAATCCAGGGAAGACCCTTGGGGGAGGGCCCACACCTTCTGGCTGGGATATCTGTCCCCACGCCTCTTATTTTCACAGGGCTCTGGCATTCGAGCCCCTGGCTTAAAGAGGTTCTTTCAGTTGAGGGTGACCCCCTCATCTGGGACAGGTTCAGCACAGTCCTGCTTCCCTGTATTCATACAATAATGAAACAACATTGAAACAGCATTTCACTACCCCTGCATTCAGTTTTTAAATTTTTTTTAGGATGATGTTTAAAAAAAGTGAACGGTACAGAGTTTAAGCATAGAAGTTTCTGGTTATCAGGGAATAATGTACAGATTATCAAGGGGTGCAAAGTTTGATTTAAGATCGGATGGCGTAAGGAATACATAAAATGCAATATCCCGACTGGGTGTAAAAGGTTAACAGGTCAAAGTACAGACATTGAGATATGAGGGTATGTTGCTCATATAATGGCTATGTTCAGGTGTGGAGTATAATGAGTGGATATGATGGTGAGGATGGATTGACCCTCATTTGGTGAGATTTCACATTCAGTGAGTTTATGATTCCAGTTCATATGGTCCAACGGAAAAATGATTTGTAACCCAACACCAGCCAAAGTTGGTTATTTTGAGCAGCACGGCTCTGTCTGCCGGATGTCTAGGCAAAGTAGGTGTGTTCATGCAAATACAGTCTGCTCCAGAAATCTCTCCCCCTCCCAGCTAGCTGTCAGGGGAGAATTCATTCAATTCATTTTAGACCCTTACATCAGGATAGCGTTGCCGACTTTCTACTCACACAAAACCTAACACCTTTGAGAACCCCCTGCCCTGCCCCTCTTCTCCTCCGAGGCCCCACCCTGCCCCTTCTCTGAGGTCCTGCTCTCCAATCACTCCATCCCCCCCGCCTCTGTTGCTCGCTTTCCCCACCTTCACTCACTTGCTCATTTTCTCCGGGCTGGGGCAGAGGGTTGGGATATGGGAGGGGGGATGAGGGCTCTGCTGTGGGGCCACGGATGAAGGATTTGGGGTCAAGGGCTGGAGCTGAGGGGTTTGGATTGTTGCTGATTTAGGAGGTTAATAATATTAATCTGGATAGAATGGGTTTTAGGCTCACCAATCTGTTTGATCAGAAGATATTAAGGTTCTTGTCCCAAATCAGGCTCCACAGAATTTGCAAAGGACCCTCGGGGGTATGACACACTGAGACCGATAGAGCCTTAAAGAATTTTTATTAAGATAAATGAAGTAGTAATTAAATGGTAAAATAATCAGAGTTACAAAGTTACAATTGCATTACTGCTATTCAAAAGATCCATATGGTATTATGGTATTTTATGCTATAAAGCAGGGGTTGGCAACCTATGGCACGCGTGCCGAAGGCGGCACGCGAGATGATTTTCAGTGGCACTCACACTGCCCAGGTCCTGGCCACCGGTCCGGGGGGCTCTGCATTTTAATTTAATTTTAAATGAAGCTTCTTAAATATTTTAAAAACCTTATTTACTTTACATACAACAAGAGTTTAGTTCTATATTATAGACTTATAGAGAGAGACCTTCTAAAAATGTTAAAATGTATTACTGGCACGCGAAACCTTAAATCGGAGTGAGTAAATGAAGACTCGGCACACCACTTCTGAAAGGTTGCCGACCCCTGCTATAAAGCTTTGGTTAATATACTCACACCCTTCCTTGATAACCTGGAGGTGAGAGACATAGAACCAGCCTCACCTCTGGTGGTTCCGGTGCCTCAATTCTCGAGGGAGACGTGCAAAGCTTAGAAGAAGTTGGAGCTAAGAGCTATCGAAGCTAACTTAGAGTTTATTTAACTAACTTAAACTTAAAATTAAAACCTAATAAACAAAACTAAGAGCAAAAGGTTAGGGAAACCAAGCTTAGCCTAGTCCCCTTGGAACTTAGAAAGTTTAAGAAAAACAAGCACAGCCTACTAGTCTACTCTAACGAGGTGGGTCACTTCTCTTATAGGGCACAGGTGCCTGAAATCCTTCCTCCTATGCCCAAACTTCATTCCTCACCCACAAAAAATGTTAGGGCCACTTACTCCATAGGCTAGTATGTTTGTACATATTGATGACATTAGATCATACACACATGTTATTTTTGTTTTCCTGATTATTTTGGTTCTTTCTTGTGGTGTGCATGTTAAGATTGAGGGTACAGACTTGGAACCCCCCTATGCCATTCTACCATTATCTATCTGTCTAGGTGAAAGGTCTTAAACATGTGTGTTGACTTTGCTATCTGGGTGAAAGGTCCCAGACATGTTAACTTTGCCTTAGCTCAACATACAGGATATGGCCTGTAGGTCCCTTGCATTACAGCCGAACTTACTTCAATATAAATCTATAAACCTATTACAATAAACCAAATACTTAAACTATAAGAAAAAAAATATATATATATATGCGCAAACAAGCAGGTTAATCCTATGGGCTACAAGATGAGTCAGTCAGTTGAGAGAGATCACCTGATATAAACAGCAATAGACTATGTAATATAGTAAATCCAAAGGGTCAGGGTCAGAGATACACATACAGCCCCCATTGGAATCTGATGCTGGGTACAGAGAAATGAATAAGAAAAAATATATAAACTCCTAACCAATAACTCAAATCACAGCTCTGCATGGAAGCGATAATTTCAGCTCAGATATTTTCACCGTAATCCCTTTGAAATGGATTTAAGAACATCCAAACCTATCTCAGTTTACAATGAAGTGATGATTACAGGGTTAACTCTCTGCCCAGACTGCAGAAATGTAGGGACATGATGACCCAGTTATTCCAATCATCCAGGAGTTTCTTAAAGAGTTTATTCCTCACGGTCTCAGAGTACAAAGATGATGTGCTGGATACAAGCGTTGGGAGTGGGGCAGAGTCATCTTTGTGGTTGGAAAAAATATATCGTGTGTTTTTGTTTCGACCTTCACACAGCCTGATTCCATTTTAATTTGTTTTGCCCTCGTCCCTAAATGCCACAATGTGGAACCCATCAAACCTGGCATTTAATGGCAAGGGAAACATGAAAATCAAGTTTCAGAGTGGTAGCCGTGTTAGTCTGTATCAGCAAAAAGAATGAGGAGTACTTGTGGCACCTTTGAGACTAGCACATTTACTTGGGCATAAGCTTTCATGGGCTAAAACCCACTTCATTGGATGCATGCAGTGGAAAATACAGTAGGAAGATATATGTACACAGAGAACATGAAAAAATGGGTTTTGCCATACCAACTGTAACAAGAGTAACCAATTAAGGTGGGCTGTTATGAGCAGGAGAAAAAAAAACTTTTGTAGTGATAATCAGGATGGCCCATTTCAAACAGTTAACAAGAAGGTGTGAGTAACAGTAGGGGGGAAAATAGCATGGGGAAATAGTTTTTAGTTTGTGTAATGACCCATCCACTCCCAGTCTTTATTCAAGCCTAATTTAAGGGTGTCCGGACTAAAAACTATTTCCTCGTGCTATTTTTAGCCCCTACTGTTACTCACACCTTCTGATTATCACTACAAAAGTTTTTTTTTCTCCTGCTGATAATAGCCCACCTTAATTGATTACTCTTGTTACAGTTGGTATGGCAACACTCACCTTTTCATGTTCTCTGTGTATATCTATCTATCTATCTATCTATCTATCTATCTATCTA